AATACAAATTTAACAGTACAGCAAATAAAATAAAATAAAAAAAACTATTTTAATTTTGCAATGATGTGTAGTGTCCTTTAAATTTTTCCTTTTATTTGAAGTAAGGTTCGTGGGTTTAATAATAATAATAATAATAATAATAAATAGCTTTATTCCAGAAAATATTTTACATACAAACACAATAATGCAAAACGTAAAATGGAAATGCGTCAAAAATATATACATATATACTAACAATTGGACGGCTTTCTGCAGAATGGGACCAACCCACACCATGATGAAACTGAGAAAAAAGCTATCAAAGATTTTAATAATTTTAAAATTACCTGTTAATTTTATGCCGATTTTGGACTTACGGAGGTTTAAGGGATATAATTTAATAATTTAATCAGGCGGATTTTGTGATGTTATGTGTAAGGGTGACGAAAAAAATGGGCTTTTGTTGGTTGGTTCCTTTCTGCAATTTATGAAAACTACTATCTAATGTATGTATGTATTTAAAGAAAATCGACAATTATTTATTTCCAAACAAAATACAACTGATATTACTATTATAATGGTAATATGAATTAATTTTGATTCTATTTGAAATTCGTCCACATAATCTTCCAACCCCACCTCATCTTGTAAGCTACCAAAAAATGCATCAAGACTTTATATTTTGCAGAAGCAGGAAATCTTTAAAGACTTTGGTAGTGGGTCTACCAGCCTGCTTTTTTACAAAAAAGATCCAACCCACTTGCAGATATTCTACAGATTCTAATTCTGGATTAGTAATCCACACTATTATTGAATGTTGGTTGGTTCAATGATTAATAGATTTCACTACACTTGCATTTTGGCTATGACCTATTTTGCAGATAAATTATACATACTTAATTAGTTCATAGGCTAAATATCTCGATTTTTTTGGTTTTGTGGGTTGGTTCCTTTCTGCAGAAAGGCGTCCAATTTATCTTCGATAACAAAATTATTAAAACTTAAAATTTAGGTATTCATTTATGCTATATGGTTCTATTTTTACTAATATTTCTTTTATACGAATTTTATACTGGAATAGATTTTGGATTATTTTAATTTCATTTGGCAACTTATTAAATAGTTTAATGCACATATATTTACAGCTTTTTCCTGTTTTTTTAAGGGAGTGCATGGGAAAAGTCATGTCTAGTGTTCTGGTATTATAAAATTTGCTGTGTTCACTGAACTCTTTTTTATTTTTAAATAAAAACATTAAACAGTCATATATATAGCGCGTAGACAGTTAGAATATCACTTTTCCTAAACTCTCCCCTGCAGGATTCTTTATATTTTTTCGTAGGACGTAATATAAAAACAACTTCCTTTTTTAAGAAAAATTGCCAGGCAATTTTTCTTTAAAAAAGGAAGTTGTACCCACGAACCTTACTTCAAATAAAAGAAAAAATATTAATAATTTTATGAATTTGATAACCAGCTCTTCAAAATGTTTATCCAAAAGAGCATGCCTTCTAGAGCTACTTATTATTTCAGAAAAAGAAAACAGCCTTTCAACTAGAGCCGAGGTTCCAAATAAATGTGTTTTATAAACGGATATATATTTAACGATTCAAATTCTTCATTAAGATACTGCAAAATCTCCAACTTAATCTTCTTTTTAAGTTTTTGGTCACATGGTTTAACCGTTTTCTGAGAAGCATTAATATCTAATTAAAAAAAAAAGTATCTACATTGGAGTGTTTGTTGTATTCTTCTCGCTTGACTTCCGATTTTTTTCTAAATTTATAATGCCTTGTGCCAATTTGTCAAGTCAAACGAGAGGAATACAACAAACACTCCAAGATCAGTGACAAATCTTCTTTTGTAAAACTCTAAAAGCAGTTTGAATTGGGGTAGGTTAAAACATACAATAGTTGAGCACTCCCTTTGCTTTTGTTGCATACAAGTTGAAAAAGGCACTAAAACGTTTTAATATACTTGCTTCCAAAATTGGCCGAGCAATATTAATGGTATTTGGATATATTCTAAGAAATTTTTTATATAATAAGCCCAAACATGGTAACAAATAACCAAAATAAGTATTTTCACCCTGTAATATGTCAATAGCATTTGCTTATGGCTGCAATATTAAACAATACTTCCTTTGATATTCCAATTTATAATTTTTAAACATCTGATTCTTAATGTTTAACTTTTTAAAAAGTTCTACCAAATGCTCCTTATCTTTTATTATTTGGGATATTGAGTCATACATTGAGTTTCACCTTGTGGCACCGGGGTAACTCAATATATGACCCTGTATTATTATTGCATTCATTTTTAGTTTACCAGTCATTTTCCATTAAACATTGCAAATGGCCACATCGTTGGCATGTCCCGTTCTTAAAGATATTTTGTTTTGAATTGCATCTGTAGTAGCGATAAGGTTAGTAAATAGTCTTAAAAACGCAGTGTTATTTATTTATTTATTAAAATATATAAAAAAGCACATTTACTAAGAATATATAAAAATTGATTCTGTCAAATCACTGCGCCTGAACTCGTGCACATGAGACATGTGCCCTCCGGAAGGTTAAAAATAAATTTTTACAAACCTTTTTAAGAAAAGAAACTATATGCACAATCAGAGATAATAATAGATGTGCACAATTCATACTATGAATGTACACAACATCTGAGAAGGATAAAATTTGTTTTCGCTTTCAAGACGACTTAAAGTCTATAACCCAATAAACCCATAAATGTACCATACTCACTCGTAAAATATTTATAAAGTCCTTACAAAAATACTTCTCTATAATCTAGACCTTCTTAGAATTATTTATTTCAACGTTTTTTTATATTATTACAAAATGGTTTTGAACAAGCAAAATTATTGGGTTTTATAATTCAAATTACTTCCAAGTAATTCAATTACTGGAAAGAAATTGAATTACTTTAAAAATAATTTAATTACCTAAGAATTGTTAAAATCAATTATCAATTACAATTACTTTTTTTCAGTAATTTCAATCAATTTTCTCGGTAATTAAATTAAAGTAATTCAATTGCAATTTTTCAACTTGATAAAAGAAGAAGTCAATTTGGCATTTTATTTTTATATAAACTTTTAAATAATTTTATTAATTGCCCAGATTTGTTAGAGCAAATAAACTTTAATGTTCCTTTAAAAATTATAAGGCAACAACAATTATTTTATATAAAGACCTATAGGACTACGTATGGTAAATTTATGCCCTTAAGTAGAATCTGTTCCGAAGCAAATGATCTAAATTTAGATTTTTTCAATTTTTCTCTGACGGTCTGTATATGGCTATCCGTTAATAAAGTTATTATTATTATTATTATTATTATTTTAATTCAACTACCGACAGCTCTGCTTGAAAGTAAATAAAGATTTACCTCGTACTAGTCGTCCATTTCAAATCGTCATACAAGTTTCAAAGAAATGGACAAGGACATCAACGTTTTATACGAAACCATTCATACTATTATATAAAAAAAAAGTCTTTATTGGGTTAACCAAAGGGCTATCGACCTAGGTCCTTCTGCCCGTTTACAACAAATAATATGTTTCTATAGAATTGAATGTTTTGGTATATACATATAAAAAAAAAATTTATGAACTTATATAAAAAAAAGAAATTTTATCATAATACTCATTTGAACCAATAAAAAGGGGAATGCTATTCCTTTAATAATTCCCACAAGGTGAAGCTTTTTGCTTTTTCTTTGTTCATCTCCCAGATTGATGCACATTGTTTCAATATTTTTGATGTTAGATTCTGATTCTTTAAATCTTTTGGCGAGTTCTTGTATGCGTGTAAGGATGTTGGGTGTTTGGTGGGTTATGGAGGAGGTTGTTGGGGTGTCGGGGTTTTGTGATTTTTCTGATTGCTGTTGTTTCTTCAACTTCAAGTTTTTTAAGGCAGGTTTTGGTGCTGTTCATGAATAAGATACTACCATATTCCAGGATGGGACGGCATATCATGGTGTATATTTTTTTGCAGTATGTTTATCTATGCCTTTATTTTGGTACGTTAGAGATCCAAAGTGAGCCGCTCTGTCAACTGTGTTGGTTTTCATTATGTTACAGTGGGAGTTAAAGTTTAGTTTGTTGTCTATATTAATGCCCAGATATTTGGTTGATTGGCTTGGTGTGACTTGGTGGTTGTATAAACTGATTTGATCGTTTGGATAAGTTTTATTTTGGTGGAATATTATGAGTTGTGATTTGTTAGGGTTAGGTCTGAGTCTCCATTTGTTGAACCAAAGGCATACTTTGTCCGTCAAATTTTGTAGCCGTGCTAAAGCCTCTTTTTTAGTTTTTCCGTGAGCTACTATTGCAGTGTCATCGGCGTATTGTAGCACATATTTGTCGAAGTCGAAATGTTTTGGGTCTTCATTGTATATGTCGTGACAGTAGATGTTATATAAAATAGGAGATAGTGGTGATCCTTGAGGTAGTCCCTGTTGGGGCATACTATTATATTAAAATATTAATATTATAATGTAATATTTATCATTTTAATTTGGAAATGTAGGCTTATTTTTAAGGAGCTCAATTTTCTTCATTATTTAGGGTTTTGATTAAGCTTTGTATTGTTTTGATGTGGATCCGGTCAACCTTTTTTTTGCCCAAAACTAAATAACCACATCGCAGAAGGCATTTAGACTAAATTAAATTTATATAAATAAAAATCCCAGAACCCTTAGGATACGGCAAACATAAACAGCTGCTGTAAACAAACCGTTTAAAATAACCTTTTGTCGGTTCTTTAGGGCCTTTTAAATTAGAAAATCCAAAATCTTTTCGGAAAATTATCCCGCCGTTGAAACGCGTTTTTTTAATTTATCATACTTACTGGTAAATTATTAAGATGGTTTAGTAACGAAATAAATTATTTTTTAATGGTCTTATTTTCTTCAAATTTATTTATTGATGGTCCAAAATGTAAAATATTTAGCATACATTTCTACTAATTTTACGCTTAATGCATTAATTAATATACATATTTTAGGGAAGGGTGAAAATGTTTGGGATCGTCTTATGCACACCCGTCCTGATTTAATATTTGATCATACCAACGGCGATGTAGCTTGCGATTCCTACCACAAATGGAGGGAAGACGTAGAAATCTTAAAAACTCTCGGAGTCGACTACTACAGATTCTCGATATCCTGGTCGCGAGTTCTGCCAACGGGCTTTGGCAATAAAATTAACCCTGATGGTATCAGATATTACAGCGACTTAATAGACGAACTTCTGAAGAACGGCATCGAACCTTTCGTGACGATATTTCATTGGGACTTACCGCAACCACTTCAGGATTTGGGCGGCTGGACGAATCCTCAGATTGCTCTTTACTTTGAAGATTTCGCGAGAGTGGTTTTCGAGCACTTTGGAGATCGCGTTAAAAAGTGGATTACTATTAACGAACCTTCCAGCATATGCTACGGAACCTACGGAAGAGGCTTGTATCTTCCTTTTGAGTATCCCGGTATTGGGGATTATTTATGTGGAAAAACCCTTTTACTGGCTCACGCTCGTGCTTATCATCTTTACGATAATGAATTTAGAGAAAAACAACATGGTAAGGACTACTTTGTCATTTTATTGAATAATGTGGGTATTTATATGTAAGTTTTAACCTAAATTAAATTCAGTAATTACTTAATTATTGTTTTGGGTAAATTGACTTTTATTTTAATTATGAGAAGAATGTGTCCAAAACGCATAGATACATTTTTTAGATAATAATAATAAAAATGCGTTATTGTGTAAAAAACAAACAATTATTTACAAAATATTAAATTAATTAGTTATTTAAAATCCACTTGTTTTCCTAAAAATCGTAATAAAATGAATTTAATTTAATTTTTCAATACACGCCATGCATTGGAGATTATAACAGAATAAAACCTAGCTAATGTTCTGTTATCTCTAGACATTTTTAGGTTTTTAAAATAAATGGAGTCCAAAATTAAAAAAATATAACAATGTTGTGTATAACTTTCCTTGAAACACATTCTGCATGCAAAGGTTTGCAAACGCGTTTTAATGCACAAAATTTGTTTAAGCAAATTATGTTTTGCAAATTTTGCCAAAATATTAACAAAAAATGTAAATTTCTTTCATATTATATTTATTCGAGGATTATAACGAGAATAGTTATTTGTGTCATAAGGCTGAAAAGTGCACTCCTGAGTGTTTTTGTCCTGAACAGGCTGAACTCAATTGAGCATGGTATACAACATTTTATTTTAGAGCATAATTATATATAAATATATTTGCTTAAAAATACATAAAACGTGCAATTATAATAATAATTAAAAGTAGAAAGTGAAGTTGGATTAGATCTGACAGTATTCGAGTTTTTTTATTTGTCCAAGCGGGTTTTTTATTATTATTTATTTATATTTTTAACGGCGAAATGAGCCTTTTAAACAGTTTTGTAATTTAGTTTATTAACAATTTAATTCTGATGCTACTTTTTTGAAAAAAACTTTTGAATGCTTTGATCGATATTGAAGAAATAAAAGATACCTAATTAATTAATTAATAACTTTAAATGTGTTAAAAGAAATTTAAAAAAATAATAATTTTGTATTCAACTAATTGTTTAAAAAGTCGCATAAAAAAATTAAAATAATAGAGACCATTGTACTCTTATAAGTCGATTTCCTCCGAGAAAAAATAATCCAGTCGTGCTAAGCTGTTCGTGATGGATTCAAGCAGAAGTGGGCCTCGGTGCAAATCATACTTGTGGCCTTTGCCTTTTTAAAATTACTTTACACAAATAATTGGACTAATTAATTTTATAGGAAACATAAATTTTTAAATAATTACAAAACAAAGAGTTAACAGGCGTTGTTATAGTGTATGTAAATGAATAAAAATCTATAACATCGCTTTTAAAAATTTCGCCAATAACAGTCGCAACGCTTGGTAATGTCGTATTCGCTGTCTTTTTCACATTAACTCTTGCTACATACGTTCTAGCACCGGGCGAAAGCATTCCTATCTGACGTTAGCCATGAATCTTCAGTGCAAGCTTCAAATTTCGCGAATTCACCGATTTAATCCAATAGAACTTTTTTCCTACCGACATGATCATTATGAAACTTCGCGTATCATGTTTTGAAGTTACGCTTCACGATATACTCATTTTTCATTGCAATCCTATCGTTACCAATAATTGTTTCGGAGGAGAAAAGAGTAACAGTCCACGTGCTGCCATAAGAACCCGTGTATTTTTACCTAAGTTTGAAATGTATTTACTCGGCTCCCAACGATAAGAATTTTTATTAAATTAAACAGGATGATGTGAAGCATCAAAAAGAATTTATTTGGAAATGTTATCAAATTTTGATCATTCGACACTCACTCCAGGACAACCTTAAATATAATTTAGAATATTATATGACTGGTTACTGTCCTGTGCATCAAGGGTTAATGTTGTTTTCCCGGTGTGTATTTTTGTATTATTGAAGGTAAAAGATGAGGGTTTTTTTGCTCGACACAATTCGACTAAAGAGTACAGTGCCTTATGACTGCCTAAACATGTATTTATATGTATGATGCTAATAAACTATTTGTAGGTTTATAATTTTGTAAAGATTTTTGCAAGGTGGAACACATAATTAAAGATTGATTTTTATAAACATTTAGATAAAAAAATAAATGATTTATTAAAAGTATAATTAATTATATTTTAATTTAAGCACAATTGCCCCAACACGTTAAAATTAACTTTTGCAAACATTTTTTGACACACTTATTTGTATGGTAAAAAGCCATAGATTTAGCCATATGCAATTTAATTAAGAAAACAAATGAGGAGCATCCGTGCAAAACCGGCTAAACCCATTTTATTCAGTTTTTGTTTTTTTTTTATTTCGCATCTTTGGGTTCATTTCTATCGACAACCAAGATAATTCTGTTTAAATCCGACTAAATCCATGTTAAAATCACATTTAAAAGGTAGCTTTAGAAGCAATTGAACGTTCCCGGTTTTATAAAACCGGCCAAATCCACGTTTTTATAGCAAACCCGGCTATATCCAATAAATAATATTATGTGGCTTGGATACTACTACTAAAATGTGTTCTGTTTTTTCATGTTTGCACTAAATTTATTTTGTTAAAGTTTTTTGAATAATAAAGGTTTTTTTTTCACATTTTATTCGGTTTTCGAGCAAAACCTGCTATATACAAAACGTTTTTTGAAATTTTGGCCTTAATATAAAGTTTTTGAAACGAAATCAAGTACCACAAAGCCCACAAAACTAAAGTTTGCTTTTTCTTTTATCTGCAATGGCCAGGAAACCGAGAGTTTTTGCCATTTTCCCAACATTTTATTAAAGTGGATATAGCCGGTTTTGCACGGATGCTCCTCAAATATTTCGTGCTGATTTCAGTAATTCTGACCCTTATTAAAAACTTAAATTTATCTCTGAAAAAATAAAATGTATGTATCTTATAATTTTTATTTATTTATTAATGTACAATTATGTAAATACCCACGATATTCCTTTTAATGTAAATATTAAACCTGATATATCGAGGTATCCATGTTCTACGTATAAACGTTTGCCATTTTTGCACACCGATAAGTTAAATTTCTCGGTTTAAATTTGAATTTAAATTTTATACATCAGGCACAATGCCCTGTATTCATTTATTTTTTTTTATGCAGGCAAGATCGGAATAACTATAGATTCCACATGGGCAGAGCCAAAAACCAATAACAAAAAGGACGTAATGGCCGCTGAGCGTGAAATGCAAATGGGCGTAAGTAAAAACATAATATGTATATTAAAGTTATTTTTATAGTCCCGATACTATTTATATTTTACAGACCGGTTGGTGGATGCATCCAATATTTTCGAAGGAGGGTGACTATCCAGAAATATTAAAGTTTAGAGTAGCGGAAATAAGCAAAACCGAGAATTTTCCAGAGTCAAGATTACCTCCATTAGACCAGGAGGAAATTAAGTTTATTAGGGGATCGGCCGATTTTTTAGGATTAAATCATTATCTTACTTATTTGGTTTCTGATAACGAATTAAATACCAACGTTAAAACTTCATTAGAAAAAGACAGAGGTACGTAATATACTCACTTCTAATTAAAACACTTGTTTTAAATTTTAATATTCATTTTACTTTTTCATGAACGAATTTCTTAATAATTTAGAAGGCATTTAAACTATTAGCCCTTTTATGTCTCTAGGTATACGTTGGATTTCATATATACCCTAAAAACATTATGATACAGATCCGGTGATCTCGCTGGCCAGCGAGTTGTTATTTCATTTGATATAATATTTGTGGGAATTAGGGTGTGTAATTTTTGAGCAACTTTTTGTTCCACTAAAAAACAGGCTAAAAACTTTCAGGAAGGTGAAAAAAGAAGCCTCTAAAAATTTGAGCTCTTAATAATAACATTGAGTGGTGCCTGTTCCTAACTTTCCATTTTCCATTTAAATAACATGAAAAAAAAAGAATTTCTTTTTTTCTTATTTTTGTATCTTGACATTTAAGCAAATGTGTAAAAACGAACTGAAAAATTATTTTGGTAGGAAATTGAACGCTCTACAAAAAAGTTCTAATTTATTTTTTCATAGAGTTCATAGAGTTCTGAAGGTATTCAATGTATGAAATTATGACTTTTATTTTATTAAACTAATCCTTTTTTATGTCTTAAAAATTATTTTAAGAAAAAATAATTATTTTCGTATAAAAAGAAAATAACACTTACATCTCAACTTTTTTTTGCATTTTATTTTATTTACTATCAACAAAAATTATTTGTGTTCAATAAATTTGTTCAATAATTATAATAGATTAAATAAAACAATGAATTTGTTATTGTATTGAATTTTTAATCTTTCTTTATTTTTTATAATTTTACCTCAACTATATTATTTTTTATTTAAAGTCGATAACTGTGATAAAAGATTATATCGGCTCAGTCGGTATATTACCGTTCGAATTACAGTGACTAGAGGCACGCTAACGTGCCGCGATTCGAAATGTTAAAGGCAACTTTAAGTTTGAATACCTTCAGAACGGCTCACTCTATGAAAAAATATATTGAAACTTTTTTGTAGAGCGTTCAATTTCCTACCAAAATAATTTTTCAGTTTGTTTTTACAATGCTCAAATGTCAAGCTACAAAAATAATACACTTAATGTTAATATTAAGAGCTCAAATTTTTAGAGGTTTCTTTTTTCACCTTCCTGAAAGTTTTTAGCCTGTTTTTTAGTTGAAAAAAAAAGTTGCTTAAAAATGACACACCCTAGGGGGAATATTGTCTTTAAATAATTAGTGACAATTTTATAATTATAAGCGGGGCACCAGTCTTGTTGAAACCAAACGTTATTAAGAATTTGCTTTAGGTTTATCAAAGCTGACACAATTTTGTTTCGAAAGCTCTAAATATTTTTGTCCAGCACAAACATAATTTTTTTTAGTATAGAGTTTTAAGTCATTTTCAGTGGATTAATACTAAAGTTTGGAAGTATTTTGTTTATCGTGTAATGAAAAGGTAGATTTATCAGTAAACACGATAATTTTAATAACCTGTTAATCTGCTTTGCACGTTCTATTACTACTTGTATATCACAAAATTCATGCTGAAACTCCTGAAATTTTTTTTTGTAAACTTTGTTAACACAATACAGTTTCATTGAAAATTTTATGTAGTGATGTCGTCTCGTCTCGTCTCGTCTCGACGAGACGAGAGGGCGATTTTCTCTCGAAAAAAGGCTCGAGACGAGACGAGAGAATGCCCTCGCTCGCTCGAGAATTTCTCATTTCTCTCGATCTCTCTCGTTCTCTCGATTATTCCGGTAATAAGTTTCATTGAAAATTTTATGTAGTGATGCCGCCGATACGAGAGATTCTCACCTCTCGTCTCGTCTCGTCTCGACGAGATGAGAGGGCGATTTTCTCTCGAAAAAAGGCTCGAGACGAGACGAGGGAATGCCCTCTCTCGCTCGAGAATTTCTCATTTCTCTCGATCTCTCTCGTTCTCTCGATTATTCCGGTAATAAGTAAACAATTTTTTTTTACATAAAAATTATAATTTTGCACATAAATGACGATATTTATTTGGACCAATGAGAACAGTATTCGCATTTCATAATAAACAAAATTTGTTCCTGGTTAACGTTGTATTATTTTATAACACAACTTAAGGTTAACCAAGAAAAAATTACTTATAAAATAATAATAATTTTTAAAATTTACCCGGTCACAGTGGTCCTCGACTAGCCATGGGTTTTATGAAAATGGCGCCAAAAAATAGGTTCAGATAGTCAAATCATAGCTGATCATAAAAATATGTTTTTGTGATACTTTTATTTATGTTTATATTTGACCATTGTTTTAAATTAATTTAAAGAATTGGCACATAATTGGAGGTCACAAAAGTTGGCACTGAAATATTTGATTAACTTGTCAGTTGTCAGCCTAGGTTTGGTCTAGGGTTGTCAGTTACTGTTTGCCTTAAAACACAAATCTAATAATTTTTGTCGATTTTATTTTTACTTTTATGATAAAATAAACCCTATTGAAATTGTAAGCAACCATGAGCATAACAGCATGTGGGCAGAAAATTATTATGCGTTCTCTATATATATATATAGAGAACGCCGTGGTAATACAAAATCGTCGAAATTTTTAATTACAATCCTAAGTTCCCAATTTCAATTTCCATCTGCAATACTTGTCGCCATGGTATTCCAAAATTTAAAAGCCATTTATTATGTAAAATTCTACCTTGAATCCGAAAATACCGTCAAAAATTATGAAAGTGAAGCAGTTTTTGAAATATAGTCATCTCCATATTAAATGGAAAATTGACTATATCTCAAAAACTGTTCTACTTTTTTAACTTTTTCGGATTCAGGGGACAATTTTACATAAGAATTGGCTGTTAAATTTCGGGATACCATGGTATTCCATGGTTAACCAAGGTACAAGTAAAAAAGCCACTAATAACTATTAAATTAGTCATTTATAACTAATTCATTTTTAGAGAGCTGAGCTTTCAAAGTCTCTTAAATTGCACTTTTGGAACATATAACTCAATCTTTGCAGTTTCTTCAAGAAGGTGGACTTGGTTTATGGTCAGAGCAAGCAGGAGAATCGATTCATAGAGAGTTTGTCAAGTACTGAAACCGATATAAAATAAATCTCTTACAAGATCCTTGCTATCAAATCCAGTTAAAGTAAGCTGTGGTTGAGTTCTCCTCGTAGACATTTGTAACAAATATTGAGTATATGTGAATTTGTTTTGGTTAATAACCTTTTTTCACTGTAAAAATAAAAAGTACTTTTTAAAATTGTAGGAATCTAAAGGCTATGTAAAAATGCGAAATTGTTACATTCATAAAATAAGTTAATGATCAGCTACGGTTTTACTTGATGAATTTTTGCAATGCTTATAGACATACCTATCAAAATCAGAACTCATTTTTTGGCGCCATTTTCATACAACCCATGGCTAGTCGAGGACCACTGTGCGGTATAAGCACATCTATGGCACTCCTTATACTATTTAAAAAAACCCGTATGCTTAATAAGTATTGCTTATTCAATAAACTTATTAACAACATGTGGTTTTTGAGGGCCTGATTACAAATTTAATATCCATTTTTTTTTAACAAAATGGCTGATCCAATATGACGAAAATTCGTCGTTCGGCTTTAATGGTTTGGGTAAAATTTAGTATTCAGATATTTATGGGGTCCCTGATTCAGAATTTAATATCCATTAAAAAAAAACAAAATTGCGGATTCAAAATAACGGACATGCGCAGTAGGTACAAGATGGTTGGATCTATGTGGAGTAGTTACATCATATATGCGCAGTAGTTTTCAGATGGATGGATCAAATGATTTGATCTATTGAAAACTATTGCGCCGATACAGGGTGTTTCTTTTAACTTGAGACAGCTCAATATCTCAAGAAATACGCATTTCACGGAAAAATGTTTTAAATTAAAGGTTAATGTGACCAAAGGGGACATTATTTGGTGCTACCGCTAGCCAACCCCTACCCCTCCTTAAGGGTGAAACGGGGGGTAACTTTGGAGAGTCAAATGGGATAACCCTTTTTTTTACAGATTTTGGTGGTAAATTAATAACTTTTATTTAAAACTTTTCTCAATTTATTAACAGATGGCGCTGTAATTCAAAATTTAAGAAAAATGGGTTTTCTTGTAAAATGTATTATTTGAAACGTTTAAAAAACAAAAATTAACATCAAATCAACAATGGTCGGCTCTGAAAACAATTTATAACCAATGTTCGAAATTTCGTCCTTCCATTTCGATACCAAGTGAAGCACCAGCGTCCCTGGTCGGTAAACGTTTGGTGCGGTACCTTTGGCGAACGGCATTAAATGGTAAAAAGTACCGGAATTTTCTAGAAAACGATCTGCCAGACTTCTTCCGAACGACATGGTGGAGCCAGAATTCATTACCCGCCTTAAAAAATGTGTGGAAATGAAAGGATGACATTTTGAACATTTGTTATAAATTGTTTTTCAAACGTTTTAAATAATACATTTTACAAGGAAACCCAATTTTCTTAAATTTTGAATTACAGCGCCATCTGTTGATAAATTGAAAAAAGTTTTAAATAAAAGTTATTCATTTTTTTATGTACTACCAAAATCTGTGAAAAAAATCGGGTCATTCCATTTGACTTAGTTACCCCCCGTTTCACCCTTAAGGAGGGGTAGGGGTGGCTAGCGGTAGCACCAAATAATGTCCCCTTTGGTCACATTAACCTTTTATTTATGACATTTTTCTGTGAAATGCGTATTTCACGAGATATTGAGCTGTCTCAAGTTAAAAGAAACACCTATACTAGATGTAACTACTCCACATAGATCCAACCAAATGCACGACATTTTCGGCGTAAAAAGTCTTTATTAGTGTGGTCTTGGCAGACATTTTTTTTATTTCCACTTTAAATTTCTATATAAAAAAATATAAACGAATTCGTATTTCATTCCAAATAATTTTTGTATTCATACTTAGGTACTTTTACCACGAGAGAAACGAGACGAGACGAGAGAAAGGCACTCTCGAGCGAGAAAAGAGTATTCTCGACGAGACGAGAGACCCATTTTCTCTCGCTGCTCGAGACGAGACGAGAGAAGGACTTTTCTCGTCTCGTCTCGCGGCATCACTAATTTTATGGATGGTAATTTTAGGGTCTTCTTCAACCATTGAACAAACCATTATCTTATTTTGAGTTTCGGTATCATTTAATGATGGGTTTTTAATTTTTTAAATTATTTTTATTTTATGAGAATCTTTTTATTTTTAATTGTTTTAATTCTTAATAGAAGAAATTTTTTGTCAAATCCAATTAATATTTTCATAAATAATACGCGTATTAAGTAGGATCTAGTAAATTTTTATAAAAAACTACGTTATATTTAAATACCAAATACAATAATAATTACTATTCGTTACTAAAATTTTGATACAGTTTCGTTTCGATGTCCTGTGTTTCTGTAGTAGTTATGAAGAGTTTTATTAGCAATTTTGTTTCCGCTGAAACCGTTACCAATATTTTTGTACCAATAGGTATCACTTCTCATTATCATTTTTTTTGGAACAGTTTCGTTTCGATCTTTACATAAAGAACAATAGCGTTACAGAAACGAGTTACAAGTCCCTGTTTTATTGCCATACACTCCTACGATTGCAAACCGATACTGGCTCGCTAAGCGCTCGAAAATTGCAATGCCGTTGTAGAATTAACAGCATTATTACATTTCTTAACAATCTAAATTTTGTCGAAAGTTTGGCCTATGTAACGAGAAAATGTGATAGACATATTGAAAATTAAAATGTGTTTTCTAAATATGTGCAAATACAAAAAAAACATTTAGCTAACTATTTAAGGAACCAAAAACGAGGTAGATCCAAACTGGGACAACCCATTGATTACACCATGGGGAATGAGAAAATTAATTAATTGGTTAGCAAATGAATACGACAACCCTATAATTTATATTACTGAAAATGGATATTGGGATGATGGGCGCTTGGATGATCAGGATAGAATAAAATTTTACAAGGTAACTATTAATAACCTTTTGTAAAATAAATAATATAAGTTAAATTTTTCAAGGGTTATATAAAGGCAGTCCTGGATGCAGCAGTTGTTGATAAATGCAACGTGAGAGGTTACATAACATGGAGTATAATGGACAATATGGAATGGAGAGTAGGATACAAGTAAATATCATAATATAACTTTAAATCAAAATACATTATTACAATACGTTGTTAATACTGCAAAAAGTCGTATGACACTTTTGTATGTAACTTTTTCAGGAGGTTTTTAGAAAAGTACACAGAAACATTTTTGTCCCTTTTAAAAGTTACATGTATGCATACAAAAGTGACGTATGACCTATTGCAGTATTAATTACTATTTGTTTTGCAGATTTAAATATGGACTTTACCATGTTGATTTCCAGAGTCCTAACAGAACAAGAACACCCAAAGTATCAGCTAAATTTTATCAGGATGTTATTAAAAACCGATATCTACCTGAATAAACTAAAATAAAAATTATTGTTTTAACAATTTATTTTAACCCAACCCCACTTCTTCACTTGGAGATTTAATTATTATTATCAATGTGTTAATGCTCGTTTTAAAATTTAAGTATATCCTAAAATAAAATTTTGTTTACAATTAAGGGAGTAATTTTTGTAAATTAATTTGCTGAATCCTAATCAAAGGCGCCCCTGATATACAGCTTTTAATTTTTTTAAAGATATAATTAAGCTAAAATGCCTTATCTAAATACCACTTTTATTGTTAATTCCAAATGCCTATAGCGTCCCCAGGAGCCATTTGTTTATAGCAACTTTTTCTTTTATTTTTACGTGTACCTACTCCCCGAAATATATTAACGTTATTTCCAGACACTCTGTATAGACTGTGATGATCTACTGGAACAATTCAACTTTTTGTTCCAAGGCTAAATAGTAGACAAACATTAGTATTTAAATCTCAAAGGGCTTGCACCAACGTTTTATTTAGATCGCCTATTTATTAAAGTACATCTCTGTTATATTTATCGTATTTATATGTTTCACATCTTGTGTATATTTTTTAAAACTTTGCTTTTTTATTTATTCATTTACTTTATTCTTGTCAATTATTATTTGTTTTGTATTTACTATAATATTGTTATTTATATCCGTTTAAACGGACTTTATGCATTAATGGGTTAAGGGTTAAAGTTGTGATGTTAATTAATGTAAGTTTAAACAATGTGATTTTGCCTTTAGATTAGAAAATTTTGAAAAATATTAATAAATAAAAAAGCCTGATTAAAATCGAAATTTTTAAAGGGCAAAAAAAATTATTAAATAATAAATAAATATTTTATCTTTGATCGATCAATAATTATTATTTACTAATTATAATTTAAACTTTAGTGTTGTCAACACTCGTTACTAAAGTGATTGCACTTAAAAATGATTTAGACTAATCGGGTAAGGTTATTTATGATCTAGGCCGTCCAAATTTATTATTTACTACTTTGGACCAATACAAGATTCTACTTTCATTTAACCTCACTATCTAATTTTAATAATTATACGTTTTAATATCGTTTAACAAATAAATTGTGCCTAGAAGATTAAATGTTGTACCTGTGCCATTCGGTTAAAAAGTGTATTTTTGCTTTGCCCAAACTTTAAGCTCAGCATAAGAAGACTTACTTTTTGGCCTAATGACATAAATAACTTTTATGTCTTTTGATAACCCTACTCTTCTTCTGGTGTGGCAAACAGAAAACTAATCCCGGCGCATTCGCCATAATTGCAACTTGATCTTATTCAAATAAATTTAAAAGACGCAAGTATTAATATTGCATGCGACATAATATACCCAGCAAAGTTTTTTTTAAATAAAAATATTTTAAAACATGTAAAACTAACTGAACTAACATCAAATGAATGACCGCCACGACAGTCATACAAAAAAGAGCAATTGGGCAATTAGGCAATTTCTTAACAAATATTTGCCTTTATGTCTTTCAACGTCTATGGGCGATTAATATAGTCTTTAAAATGTCTCTAAGAAGAGACGCTGTGTGACATGTAGGGCCACCTTGCTCCTAAACCATAAGTTGTTCAGTTGAGAATGCAAAAATTCACTTATTGTTCGATACTTTTTTCATTAACAGTAACTGCATTGCCCTCGGCATCTTTAAAACACAATTATAGATAATTCGTTCGGAGCATATTGCATACCAAACAACGATTTAAATGTCAAAATGCACGTTCTCTTTAATAACACAAGGGCTTTCTTTTCCAATCGTTTTTAAACATCAATTGGCCACATTTTAAATTTTGTAGTAATACATATGCAAGTCTATGTGCAAAAGTCTATTTAGACAACCCTAATTGGGTAGCACGTCTTCTTTTTTGGTTCAGCCTGAACATCAGCCCAAACAAGCTAAATATTTTCCTTTGTACATTGTATGTTAGACCTTGTTCAGTTTGTACAATGTACAACCTGAACTAACTTAGGTCTAACATCACTTACATAACTAGTTTATAAAAATGTGTTTGCTAAACACTGAATTATTTCTTCAATCAAAGCGCGTTCAGTTAAAATTATCGAAGAACAACACAACAAAATTCTGTAAATCTTTATTATGATAAAAAAACTTCACTTTTGATAGTTTAAACAAATAACAAAATAAAAACCATATTCCATAGCAGGGTATATTTTGCCCCACTCTATAGACGTCATACAACACAAAATAGTATAATAAAGAATAAATGCCATAATGAGACTCCATTTTCTTGCATGAAGATAAGTTTACGAACCGAGCTGTGAAACAGCGAGTTTTGTAATGGTTGAGTGCGAGAAAACGTCTTATAAGATGAGTTCTTTGTTCTATTTTTTGATTTCTAAAAATTTTGAGAATACTGTTGAATTTTATTGCATATTGCGATTTAGGAATTTATTCTGCAGTACCTAGTAGGTACAAAATATCAGCAAACCTGAAGTTTCAACATTTTTTGAACAAAACTGACGTTCCAATTATAAAGACCCCCCAGTAGCACAAAATATTTGTCCTATATGGGGCGCGTATATGCCCAATATTTTATCTGGGGCCAATATTGGATTTATTTTGGCGATGTTAGCCCTATATTGGGATAAAATGATAATTTAATATAACATGCCAATGTTAATCCAAGGTTGGTCCTATATTGGCATGTTATTTTAGGCCAATATATCATTAACTATAGTCAACGATGCTTTCGGATTTCTAAAAGTAATATGTAACGACACACGTTTGTTTCCAGGATATACATATACTAGTGGCGCAGGAACGGTTTTAAATGGGTGAAAATAATAAAGGCAATTCTTGCATATTACCGTAAAAATAACAAGGGTAATATGCGATTTCTTGTCTTATTAGCAATAAAATTCGTTATTACGTTAATAAAGCTCAAGCTGATCATTTTAGCACACGATCTAAACGATTTTAGCATTTCATCGTAATTAAGAATAACATAGACGGTACACGACTTGTCTTATTGGTAGATTTTTTCAAAGAATATCAAGTAACCCCCCTCTCTTCCGCTTCTACACCCCTAAGACTTAGTATCATACACATTTCCTGAAAACAAACGTTTGTCGACACGATCGTGACATATCACTTTTAGAAGGCCTACTACGTAGTAAGTACTAGGTGGCTATCTTTTTTTCTTTCAATTTCTTTTCTGGAATATAATGTAAAAAAACTTTCGAGCCAATGCAGATTTCCAATATCGGTTATATAATGTCAAACAACTTCGGGTCAATGTTGGGTTTCAATATTGGACCATGCTAGAAAAAATCTGACGAAAGATATATTGGCCCAATATTATTACGAATATTGGTCAAATATCTTTGTGCTACTGGGACATATCGTTCAAAAAAGTGATTCGTGATTTTCTTGAACGAACACAAGTTAATGTACTAGTGCTAGAAAATGTCTTAAGAGTTCCTAATGTTAATTGGCCGATTTAAATTTTCACTGTGATTTGAACCAAGCAGCTATTATATCCCGTATAATAATATACTAGTAGTTTCATCAGGATCTAAATAAACAAATATGCTGTCTTTAAGTCCAAATGATAATATTTATAATTAAATTATGCCTAAAATTGTTGATAGTTTGGTTTACACTTTCCAACATTTCCAACGATCTGATTACCACCCGCCTACTATCTTTTATTGTCTATTATGGCTAGTGCCTTATAAGGCACTTAAAAATGATAAAGGCTAATCAGGATAGGTTATTTATGGCCTAGGCCTTACCTCCGTTTATAAACGAGGTGCATACTATACTTTTCTATGACAAATACTTATTATTATCTTAAAATGATTTAAATCAAATTTTGTAAAGAGCGCCATCTATGAAACAACAGGGGAAACTGTCAAATGTCACATTTTTACATTTTATAAACACAATTATAAAGGTTATAAATCGAAATGTATCTTGAAAATTGACAGTTTTTCACAGTGAAAGTAAAGGAAATGTTTTATGAGGACTTTACAATAGAGTCCGTGCCCGAATTTAAGTTATAGTTTACTTTCTCAAATATTGGCTTTTACTTTACTTTCTCAAATATTGGCGTTGAGAAACTATTTAATATTTTTGTATTTTTGTATCGAGATAATAAAATAATTTTCACATTTAGTATTATTTTACAAGAAAGGCACTTTATTTTAACGATTGTACGACATTTGACAACTGTCAACTAACTTAAAACCAACTTCAGCCCGTGACTAAAAACCTGTTGCTAACTTCAGCCCGTGACTAAAGCGCCGTAAAGCCACAACTTGTCAATGTGTATTTAAAAGGTCACTTAGTGTCATGGAAACATGTACGATAAAGGGCGTTATAAAGGTGGGAGTAAAAAAAATATTTTATCGCATTCGGCCAAGAAGGGTTTTTTGTACTTCGCTCAATTGTAAGCTTCTGCTACGCGTCGGTCAGAGCTTAGCACAAAAAACTCTATTTTTAGCCTAATGACATAAATAATTTTAGCTTAATGTCTGTTACTAGTAACAAAAAAATCGCTTAAACAATATATTAAATTACGTTTTAATAGTAATGACATAAAAAATAATACAATTTTGCTTATTTAAAAGGGTAAAAAAATCAATTTATCTTTTATTAAATTTGTCATTTACGTTTTCTTAATAATCCCCTGCGTTCATAAAAAACGACGGCATTATTTTCTCGCGAACATTTTCATTTAGGGGGATTGATTGGCGTAAAGGCCCCTCGAAAACTCTCGATTAATTGATATTAATTAGTCACCTACCCCTGCTAATAAAGCAAGCAAGCAAGTAACAAGGACAACATGATTCTCAGCATCAGCAGTGGCAGCAGTTGCAATCCAGTAGGCATCGAGAACGGTTCGGTTTTGATCCAGTTAGTGGAAAAGTGCGAACCGCGTGACGTTCGTAAGTGGTGATCTCGGCACTTAATATCGCTTGCACGTGTAAGTTTTAGTTGTCTCTATCTTCAGACTAGGTTAAATCTGCTACAGAGATTATGTCTTTACAGATAAAACATTTTTTTTTATTTCTTATTGATCTAGATTGCATGCCAAAATTAAGTTTATCCCAGATTTTGTTATAATATAATATTTTCTTTTTTTCTAATGTATTTGCAATTTTATACCTTATTAATGCAATAAAAAAACAGACAATAGGGGACTTCTATTTAAAAAAATTGCAATAAAATGTATATTCTTAAATTATATTAATATATTAATTTAAAAAAATAACAGAGATTACACGTTCGCAAAAAAACAGGTGTAATAATAATTGTAGACAACATTTTTATTTAAAATACAGTAATAATATAATATACACTGCTGTTCATAAGTTAGGGAACCCCCTTTATAGTTAAGACGCCGGTATATTTACTTTTAAATAAGGCAAAAATTTCAAATTAATATATTTTTATATTATAACATTATGAATAAACTGGTATTTTTTGTATGTTTTGTTTAATTTTAAGGTATTTTACTAAACTGAAAATGCTTTGACAAAAAAATTAATTCGGTTGTAATTTTACAGAAGGTTCCCTAACTTTTGAACAGCAGTTTAATATAATATATCCTTTTTCTACACGCGTGCGCAAGGTTGTACTTTTCCGCACGCTTACTTTTAAGGATGTTTAAATAAACTAATAAATGCACGATATTCTTTATCGCAATCTAGAATAAAGTGTTTTGATTGCTTTATTGCTTTTTAGATAAATTATTTTTATTTTAAAGTTATGTCACAAATTTCAAGAAACACGGGAAAGGTAAAAAAGTAGATTAAGTTCAAAAAATTTTATTCTTATTTTTAAAAAGACTTAAAAGTCTTAATAGGTTTTGACATTCAACTATTTTTTAGCCTTAAGGAGGGGGTTTCTATTAAAGCGTTTAAACATGAGTAATTTTTAAAAAAACATTAAAAAAGTTAATAATATTATTATACAATAGCGATGTCACGTACTGCAATGAGCTTATGAGTTTTTTTTACTAAAGATATGATTATAAAATAAAATTTCCCTTATGTAGGGAATCCCTACTAGGGATTTAGGGATTTATTTTTAAATTAGCTTAAAACAAACGAAAAAAGTACATTTTTTTACTTTTATTTAAAAAAATATTTTGGTATAAAAAATACTTTTAATTAACTATTTAATTAACAAGCATTTTTAAAGCATTAAAAACAATATTAAGAAATTTTAAAACTAATAAAAATCATAGAAAATAGGGGGTGGTTAAACCTCCCCAGACACCCCTATACATTTTGTATTATTGCATAACGCTTTTCCCCATTTGAATTAGTAACGGGATATTTAAAGGATTACAATTGTTATCTCTAACTTGTTTTAAGCGTACACAGTAAAAAAATAAAGTAAATATTAAACTCTAAAGTTCACCAATTGGGTGGTATATACGACCAATTTATTTAGAGTTGGATATTTATACTAACAGTATAAATGTATTATAAAATATTAAGGTAGGTTATAATAGTGTACACCTATAGACTCTTTAGTATAGAGTATGATAATTTTATAAAATAGGTATTTTATCAGGAATGTGTAGTAGTATACAAGAATTTAAGACGTTTTATTATTAATGATTATTTTATTTATGCCTATGCAACGTGTTAACTATTCAATTAACCCAAAATACATAAATAAAACAATAATAATTATAATAACAATGTAATGAGAAAGATTTTATACCTTAGTCTGCCGAGGGCCTCACATTGTCCCAGGAAGTGAAAGGAGGTTTCATCCTCCCTTCCGCATTGGGCTGGTTTCAGCCCCTATTCCCGTGAGGTGTTTCCTTAGGCCATGACCCGTGAGTATGTTCACAAGTGGGCCCAAGGAGGTTCGGCTCCTACCTAGAAGCCAGATGGATTTGGGTTTGCTTAGGGTGGCCAGGAAATCCCTGATCTGCCTACAGCCACCGCTTCTTCTCCAGCTTTCGTTCGCCCTTTTATCAGCCCAATTATTTAGGGCTGATTTGACCTGCTTTCTCGTAATTCCAAAAATTGGTTCGGGTCCTACACAGGGGGTTTCAGATCCCAATCTGGCCAACTCATCAGCCCGTTCGTTACCTTCCACCCCACTATGACCTGGTACCCATACGAGATGCACTCTTTTTGTACTTACTAGCTTTTCCAGCGCTTCCTCACACTCTTGAACCAACTTCGATGTGGTTCTCGCTGCCCAAAGCGCTTTCAGAGCTGCTTGGCTATCTGAGCAGATGTATATATCTGTCTCACTCCCTGTTCTTATATCCTCACAGTTTGCAACCTCAAGTATGGCAAACACTTCCGCTTGAAAGACAGTGGTATATCCTCCGAGCGGGTAGCTCCTTTGGATATCCCTGTCTTCCACGTAGAAACCTGCCCCTGAAGACAGTGTACTCGCCATACGAGAGCCATCAGTGTAGCACACTAGTGCATTTTGTGCAAAGTGTACATCCTTTTTCTCCCACTGCTCTCTTGTTGGTATCGTGAGGGAAAACTTCTTTTTTAAACTTAAGCGGTCTTTTGCTGGCATCGTTCTAATACTGCTAATTGGGACCTCCCTCTCAGCCATATCCGCGATGCCCTCATGACCTTAAGTTATTCCTTTTCCTAACCAATTATTGGCATCCCTCATCCTTAAATGGCTCGCCATTGCTTCTCTCTTTATCCAGAGGGAAAGACTAGGCAAGCTCAGCAAGGCCTCTAATGCCGTCGTTGGAGTAGTCCTCATTGCGCCTGTGATACCGAGACATGCCAGTCTCTGTATCTTGCTCAGTTTTTTAGCGATGGTGGTTTTGCTCACACTGCGCCACCAGACCACTGATCCATAATGTATCCGCGGTCTGATAGCAGTATAAATCCAGTGAAGGACTTTGGGATTTACTCCCCAGCGTTTTCCCACCACCCGGCGCAGCTGCCAGAAAGTTGCAATCGATTTGTCAACAACTTTGTCGACGTGTGATTTCCAACTTAACTTCCTATCTAGGGTAACACCTAGGTACTTGACCTCTTCAGTAATCTCAAAAGGTTTTCCATACATAGCTGGTGCCCTGAAGTCCTGTATCTTCCTTCGTTTGGTAAAAAGAATCATGTCAGTTTTTGTTGGGTTAACCGACAGACCGTTTTCTTTGCACCAATTTTCTATTATTCTGCATGCTGTCTGCATTCTGTCGCAGACTACACCTAGAATGCCTCCTTTGATTAGGACTGTACCATCATCTGCATATGCTTGTGCATACAGCCCTTCAGCCGTCAGTCTCTCCAGAAGTCCATCCATTATTAAACACCATAGGTGGGGTGATAGGCAGCCGCCTTGTGGGCAGCCGCCCCTAACACCGGTGTCCAAATGGCAGTCTCCCAGAGATGCACTGACCTGCCTCTCCTCCACGATTTAACCCAACTAACCAGGACTGGGGGAGTGCCTCTGGCTTGTAGCGCTTCACAGATTGTAGATGTCCTCGCCTTATCAAAAGCCCCCTCTACATCAAAGAAAACAGCTAGTGCCATTTCCTTGTAGTGCAGTGCCTATGCACTATAGAATGAAGAGCCGTTTCGGTCGACCTTCCATTTCTATAGGCATGTTGATTCTTATGGAATGGGTACCTTTTCAGCACCCCTTCTTGCAGGTACCGTTCCACAATCCTTTCTAATGTTTTAAAAAGAAAGGATGTCAGGCTTATTGGCCTGAAGGACTTTGCAGCCGAGTAGTCTTTTTTCCCTGCTTTGGGTATGAAGACCACTTTAGCTGCCCTCCAGGCTCTTGGGACATATCCCAGTGCCAGACTGGCTCGGAATATTCGTTCTATTCTTGGGAGAAGAATCTCCAAGCCTCTCTGTAGCAATGCTGGGAATATTCCATCCGGTCCTGCTGCCTTGTATGGATCGAACGCATTTACTGCCCATTCCACCGATCCCTCCTTCACAACGTCTTTTTTTTTACATTTCAATGTAAGCACGGAATCTAAAAATAGTATATGGGGATTTTCACGCCAAGCGGGCAACTTTAAAAGCAAAGTTGTTTAAATTTGTTCATATTTTGGTATACTGTACCCCTAGGGGGTCTTAGCATTGACATAAAACTATTTCACCCTGCGAAGCCTAGGGACCCTGATAGGGGCTTATACATTTTTGTCAAAACGTTGGGCATGGTGTATTTTAAAGGGGCCTAGCTTCTTGAAAAATCTTCGTAGAAAAAAAATTAAAAAACCAAATTGGTAGGTATGTTCTTTTTCTTTATGCACTTAAATTTAAAATTTGTTTTAAAAAATTAAAATAATAATTTTTTTAATTTCGGCCAGTTTTTTTGCTTAAAAATTCCCTATAAATGTATGTATAATGCATACAAAACTTTGTAATGGGGTGAGCACTCGTTTAAAGGCTAGAGAACTTGGAGTAAACCCGCATCAAACCTAGTGGCGCACCGTGGAGTTGGGTCCTAGAGCGTGCTCCACTGTTTAGTCGATCGCGCTTTTGAAAAACTTGATAGTTTTTAACTTGATTTTATTGTCCTTTTTTAATTATAATATTTTGTTACTGAAACAAAAAATATAGGCATTTAGTAGGTTCTTACGAACCCACAAATTTTCTTTACCTTGTGGTTATGTATAGTTATGTTAAAAATGCTTTTTAATTGTTTAAATGTAATAATAAACCAATATTTAAAAATAAGAATATTAAATCGCAATTAAGTCATCTCTGGATAATAATTCAAAAGGATAGTTACTAGGGACACAGTTGTTGCTAGGATGTTTGTTTATTTACTTTAATGTGAATATTTTCTTATTGGTATTATTAGTATTAAGCAACGTTAAAAAAGTAGTTTTTTTTTCTGATATTTATTTTATTTTATTTATTATTACGGATTACTGTTATCTGCCTGTTCCAATTATGTCTCCAATTAGCTAACTCTGGTTTAACCCCTTGGGAAGTGGAAAGTTTCAAATAGGTATTCTGTTTG